ATACTGTAAGTATATATATACTGTAAGTATATATATACTGTAAGTATATATATATACAAATGAGAGTATATATAAGTCAATATATATATACACATATATGTATTGAAATATATATATATATAAGTGTATGTATATATATATATCAGTATATATATATATTTATATATAAGTATATAAAACAAGTATATATACATATAAAGAAGTCTATAAATAAGTGTATTTTTATATATGTAAATAAATTTAAGTATGTATAAAAGTATGTATATAAGTATGTATGTAAGAACAGAATATATATATGAGTAAAAATAAGGATAAATATATATATATGTATTTATTTATTTATTGAAGTATATATATATAGACATATAAACATATATATATATATATTTATGTGTAAAATTATATGTATATATATATATAATTATATATAATTATATATATAATTATAAATATAATTATATATATAATTATATATATAATTATATATATATATAAATAAGTAAATAAAAAAGTGTATGTATATATATATATACAAGTATATATAAGTATACATATAACTATATATACACTGGTAGGACAAAAGTTGCGCTTGTTGAGCTTCCCACATTGAACATGTTTGGTTTCTTCTTCTGCACATCCTTTATCCGTAGAATCCTAGCATGGAGCTTTGTCCTACCCCGGTCGCATTTCCACCCTCCAAAGGCTTTAAATCTTATATATCTACAAGAGGGTGATTATTGACCGTCCCACACCTGCCACACAAAACAGACTTTAAAATGTGATCCGCAGTTGACCGAGATGGATGTTTTGTAAAGCTTTCAAGAAGCATAAACTGTGTTCCTCCTGCTTATATATAAGTATATATAAGTATATGTAAGTAGATATAAGTATATATAAGTAGATATAAGTATATGTAAGTATATATGTGGTTGGTATGTTGGTATGCATGTATGTATGTATGTATGCATGTAGGTAGGTAGGTAGGCAGGTATGTAGGTATGTATGTATGTATGTATGTAGGTATGTAGGTATGTAGGTATGTAGGTATGTAGGTATCTAGGTATGTAGGTATGTGTGTATGTCTATGTAGGTATGTAGGTATAGATACATAGATACATAGATATATAGATACATAGATACATAGATACATAGATACATAGATACATAGATACATAGATACATAGATCCATGCATACATACATACATACATACCACCACCACAGGGGCGTCATACCCCCCCCCATCCCATGGGGGTGTGGGAACACGGGACACGGGCCCATATATAAGTATGTAAATAACTATATACATGTATATATAAAAGGATATAAATAAGTATATATATATATATATTAATTATATATATATGAGTATATATATATAATTAAATATATAAATATATATATAATTATATATATAAGTATATATACGTATTTATAAGCAAATACAAGTATATATAAGTATAGAAAAGTATAGATAAGTATATATAAGTATATATAAGTATATATATATATAAGTAAAGATAAGTACAGATAAGTATAGATACGTATATATAAGTAGATATAAGTAAATATAAGTATATATAAGTAGAAATAAGTATATAAGTATATATAAGTAAATATAAGTATATACATGCGTGTATGTGCAAAATATGTCAAACAAGATCAAACAGACAAGTAATAAATTACCACTACTTTAGCGGGATTTTATAGCAGAAGGTTGACATAGTGATTAGGTAAGTTATCGGCTGGTAACAAATGGATTGGTAAACAAGAAACGACTGATTAGTGATTAGTAACAAACCCATACATACACTTTTGTGTACAATCTCATAGTCTAACGAATTGCCAAGGACATCCAAAATCGATCGCCAGGCTCCTAATTTTGACACGTACATTAGATTGATTGTGATGATTGTTGGTTGGTTTAATGGTTAGGACTGCAGTTCTACTGCATGGTTGCCTGAGAATTCCAATTAACCAACGCATAGATCATACAAAAGGGCATGATACAAGATTTTTGGCCGACATTCCATGGAAATTGATTCTGACTCTGACCAGTTTTCATTGTTGCATGATTATTGCCAGTCTTCGCAGACTCAATGCTCTCAATGCTGACTCATGGTCTACGTGGCCATGGTTCATGGGGTGATTGTCATATGCCACATGTCAGGATTTCCCAACCAATCGCTTGATTCAATCCATGGCCATGGCTCAAGTGAATCCATTCAACCTTGGAACGACACTTCGTCCGCATCGTCCGGGAGGATCTGCGACGATCATCTTTCACAATACCATCAACATGTATGTCTATATATATATGATATATTATATGTTTTTCATGTTCTCAACCTCATTTTTGAAGCCACTTTTCACAAAGAAATTGTCATGGCGCTGTGGCGCCGTCGTTATTTTGACATTTTCGTGGACCGGTAATCGGTCCGCCGGGTTGTTTATGGCATTTGGTTTCCCACATTATATCTATCTTTCTTTCTTTCTATCTATCTGTCTGTCTGTCTATCTGCCTATCTGTCTATCTGTCTATCTGTCTATCTGCCTATCTGTCTATCTGTCTATCTGTCTATCTATCTATATCTTTGTCTACATCTATATCTACAACTATCTATATATATATATGTATGGAGGTTTCCCAAAATGGTGATGCCCCCATCCATTTTAAAAGGATTTTCCATTATAAACCATCCAGCTATTGGAGATCCCCCATTCTAAGAACCCCCCACAGTCATCCTGGAGTAGATAGAATATGGATTTTTTTTTAATCACTGAAATGGAGATAGTCTTGAAAATCCATGAAAATCCCATATTCTACCTACTTCAGGATGATTATACATACCCTACAGCTCCAAACACCAACACTGAGACTGTATTTGGAGTTGGCTTGTTGGGGTCTGTTTACACCTTCTCAGAGGCTATTTGGAGCACTACACTTAGTGGGGCCCCCCAGTTATAAGTTGATGAATACTATAGTTATTTGCGTAAAATAAACCATAGAAAAACTTGACTTTTCTGCACCAACTTAGCTATCGAAAACAGGGGCCTCCAGCATCCCCAAAATGGGCACCTTCTCCAAGCTGGACCGCATTGCGGACTCGTGTCGCTTCCGGTCATCGACTTCGTGAGCCTGAAAAAAAAATCGAAGAAGATCCACCAACAGAAGGGGAAAATCGTGGGGTTTAACGAAACATGGAGGTTTAATCTTTAACAAAAGAATTTGACCAACAAAAATGCGGATTTCAGGTTCAAAAATACGTGGTTTTACACCCAAAAATAAGGATTTAAGCAGCACAAATATGGGTTTAACCAACAAAATACATGATTTTACCAACAAAAATAGGAATTAAACCAACAAGAAATAGTGATTTAACGAACAAAAAATAAAGACTTAACTAACAAAAAAATGATTTAACCCACAAATATGCTGATTTAACGAACAAAAAATAGTTCTGAACCAACAAAAAAATAGGGATTTAATCAAGAACAATAGTGATTTAACAAACAACAATAGGAACTTAACCAACAGAATTATGGATGTAATTTAATTAACCAACAAAAATGATGATTTAACCAACAAAACTGGTGATTTAACATATTTTAATCAAGAAAAAATGTGGTATACTGAGGATTTGTTGTGATATAATGGGAGTTTACCCCCTGGAGTCATCAAATATATGGCTAACCGGGAAGTCCCCCGAACTGCCGGATGGTAACCAATAAAAATAATGAGGACTGGTGACTCAGCAAATTGTGGATTTAAGCCAAAAGATGCCAAAAAAAGTATTGGGATGGATGGTTTGTTGCTGATTTTTTTCTCCATCATTTTCAGGTGTCTTTTACTTTTCTGAATCTCTTTGAGGGTTGGTACAAGGTGAAACAAATTGGATCAAATGGGGCAAATAAAAATTACGTAGGAGGACAATCCAAGTTTAACATGAAACAAATTGGGGGTGTACTGTAATCATCAACATGTTGTATTTTGGTCATTCAAAAAAGGCATTTGATGATTAAGATCGGGGCTTCAACTAGCCAAAAAACTGGGTTTGAACGGACCATGAACACTTGAGGATTGACGGTCCTGAAAACTCAAAAATGCGATCTGGAAACAGCATTTTTGGGGCTGCATATGGGTTTGTCTAAAATTAGGACACTGCAAAACTGGATGCTTTATAACAATTTGTCCCATTCGACTGCCATTTTGGTGGTATATCGGTATACCCCAATTTCAGACACACCCATGTTAGTTGTTCATGGGTTGTTCGCATCAAACATTCGTGATTCGACTTCGTCAAGAATGAGAGAGTTTAGCCACCAACATATTTTGTAAATATTGACCAAAAAGGGATTCAGATTTAAGCATCATAGTCATCAACTATGAATGGGCTTCCATAAGTAGAGGTTACCCCAATAGCTGGATGGTTCGTAATGGAAAATCATATTGAAATGGAGCGAATTTTACTCATCTATGCAGGGGTCAAACCAAGGGGCGCAGGGAGTATTTAATATTAAGGAGGGGGTATTACAATCTGCAACCTGATTGAGTTTGTCACAAATAAGGTACCCTAAATTTCCTGCGAATGATCCTGATGTCACTCATTAACATTGCTTTTTGCGGGTATATACATATATATATATATATAATGTGGTAAACCCTACCGCCCATTTAAAGAGATATGATTGGTGATGAATCATCATTAATTACCATTACTAGTCACAATTAACCATCATTAACCAGTTGCAACTATCCCGATGAAACATTTTATTGGGAAAAAGAAACTTTTTCAGAGGGGTTGACACCACCAACCAGTATAGTTTGATATACCCTCTGGTAAACTAATATAACTATGGAAAATCACCATGTTTAATGGGTAAATCCACTATAAATGGCAATTTTCTATCACCACTATGGCTATGGGTAAATCATCCATCCTCTGCTATCACTGCTGCCAGTTCCCCTTGGGGCTCCAACCCTCACCATCGGTTCTTCAACTGGCGGACTGTGTTTGGGATTTCAGTGGCACTACGCTCTGGTCATTTGACATGTTGCTATGGAAAATGGCCCATGAAAAAAATACCCTCCAGTAAATTAACAGCTGGACCCTGAAAATCACCAATTTTTAATGGAAACTAGTCTTCCAACCCCGATGACTGCCAGGGTCTATGTTAATGTACCAGAGGGTATAGATTATTAAAATGATGTTTCACCTATTGCGAATGAGGCTTTCCAGTTCGTTACATAACAAATTACCAGAGGCTGGAATGCTGCCAATGGGCTTTGTCTTACAACAGCGAGCTTTTGAACAATGACATGTCCAAGTCTGAAACAGCCCCAAGTCAGGATTTAGAACCAACAAGACTATACCATCCATGCAGGGTAAATGATAATAATTCAAATTCACAAACCTGAAATCAGGCAATATTGGGCTGATTTTTCATACTATAACTTTATATAACTATCATTTCAGTGAGGGAGAACAGTGAGGTTGTTATAATTTACCCAAATCTATCATCCTGAATGGAATTGGGGGTTTCTTGACATGGGGGATCCCCAAGTCACCATGGTTGTTTCAATACTAAAATTGTCTAATGACTTAAATGACTTGGGACCCCATTTTAGGAAACCTCCACTTGATGATATTACCCTCACGACCGGGTGTTGGAGTTTTTTTTTTGGGCAAACATGGGTTTCCATACATATCTCATACAAAGAAAGATTAGGGTCTGACTACCTGCACAAGCAGCGAATCCAAGAGTGTCCCTATGAAAACTGCCAAAACATGGGTATGCATCATTGAAAAAAAACACAGAGAACGAGCAAATGTGGTGGATTTTGATTTTGCCACTTCATGCCACTTCATGCCACTTCAAGTGGCGTATGCCACTTCGAGTGGCGTATGCCACTTCGAGTGGCGTATGCCACTTCGAGTGGCGTATGCCCTTTCGAGTGGCGTATGCCACTTCGAGTGGCGTATGCCACTTCGAGTGGCCTGCTGACTGTGTAGCCTTCGCGTTCCGAGTGGCGTATGCCACTTAAAGTGCAAGCTTTGTAGTACAAAGTAGTACTGCTGGTCCTTTGTGCAACTTTTGTAGTACAAAGTAGTACTGCGCAGTGCTTTGTGCAAGCTTTGTAGTACAAAGTAGTACTGGGAAGTGTTTTGTGCATGCCTTGTAGTACAAAGTAGTACTGGGAGTGCTTTGTGCAAGCTTTGTAGTACAAAGTAGTACTGGGAAGTGTTTTGTGCAACTCTTGTGGTACAAAGTAGTACTGGGGACGGCTTTGTGCAAGCTTTGTAGTACAAAGTAGTACTGGGGAGTAGTTTGTGCAAGCTTTGTAGTACAAGGAGTTGTTTTGTCCAATTTTTGTAGTACAAAGTAGTACTGGGGAATGCTTTGTGCAAGCTTTGTAGTACAAAGTAGTACTGGGAGTTGTTCTGCGCAACTTTTGCAGTACAAAGTAGTACTGGGGAGTGCTTTGTGCAAGCTTTGTAGTACAAAGTAGTACTGGGAAGTGGTTTGTGCAAGCTTTGTAGTACAAAGTAGTACTGGGAAGTGTTTTGTGCATGCCTTGTAGTACAAAGTAGTACTGCGGAGTGCTTTGTGCAAGCTTTGCAGTACAAAGTAGTACTGGGGAGTAGTTTGTGCAAGCTTTGTAGTACAAAGTAGTACTGGGAGTTGTTTTGTGCAACTTTTGTAGTACAAAGTAGTACTGGGAGTTGTTTTGTGCAACTTTTGTAGTACAAAGTAGTACTGGGGAGTGCTTTGCGCAAGCTTTGTAGTACAAAGTAGTATTGGGAAGTGTTTTGTGCAAGCTTTGTAGTACAAAGTAGTACTGGGAAGTGTTTTGTGCATGCCTTGGTACAAAGTAATACTGCGGAGTGCAAGTTTTTGTACAAAGTAGTACTGGGAGTTGTTTTGTGCAACTTTTGTAGTTCAAAGTAGTACTGGGGAGTGCTTTGCGCAAGCTGTGTAGTACAAAGTAGTACTGGGAAGTGTTTTGTGCAAGCTTTGTAGTACAAAGTAAAACTGGGAAGTAGTTTGTGCAAGCTTTGTAGTACAAAGTAGTACTCGGGAGTTGTTTTGTGCAACTTTTGTAGTTCAAAGTCGTACTGGGGAGTGCTTTGCGCAAGCTGTGTAGTACAAAGTAGTATTGGGAAGTGTTTTGTGCAAGCTTTGTAGTACAAAGTAAAACTGGGAAGTGTTTTGTGCAAGCTTTGTAGTACAAAGTAGTACTCGGGAGTGCTTTGTGCAAGCTTTGTAGTACAAAGTAGTACTGAGAAGTGGTTTGTGCAAGATTGTAGTACAAAGTAGTACTGCGGAGTGCTTTGTGCAAGCTTTGTAGTACAAAGTAGTACTGGGAAGTAGTTTGTGAAAGCTTTGTAGTACAAAGTAGTACTGGAACGTGTCTAGTGCAAGCTTTGTAGTGCAGATTAGTACTGGGAACTAGTTTTTGCAAGCTTTTGTAGTAGACATCATTACTGGAAAGTACTTGACATGAAAATAGCCAAGAAGAACTTAGCTGACATCTGTGAAGACATGGAATGAGATGAGAAGAGCTCCGATGAGATGAGTTGAGATGAAGTGCAAGTGTGAAGTGTGGAGTGTGGGGTGTGAAGAGTGCAATGTGAAGTCTGAGGAAAGTGTTTGCATTGCACCGGTGTCGCGCGCAGGTCATGTTCTTATGTTTTTGGCCACAACACTACAACAGCTTCGCACAGCTTCGCACAAAGCACGCACGCACAGCCCTGGCTGGAGCACGGCGCATGCAAGGTGCTTAGTCGTAGTACTGGGAAGTGATTCATGGAAGCTTGCGTGACATATGAGAAGAGATGAGATGAGAAGAGATGAGCTGGGTTAAGGTGAGAAGAGCTCAGATGAGATGAAATGTGGAGTGTGAAGTGTGAGGAGTGCAGTGAGAAGCGTGGGGCGTGAAGAGTGCAGTTTGAAGAGTGAAGTGTGAAGTGTGGACTGTGAAGTTTGAAGTGTGAAGTGCCAAGTGTGCAGTCTTAAGAGCGCCGGGTGAAGTGAAGTCTGGAGTGCGAAGAGTGCAGTGTGAAGTGTGAAGTGTGGAGTGTGAAGAGTGCAGTGAGTAGTGCGAAGTGCGAAGTGGATCTGCAAATGTGACTTGCGATGGAGTCAAAAGATCCGGCTATCATCATCGCTGCTGGAGTCCTCAACATCGATGGGCGCAGCAGTCGACATTCCATCTGTACCACGCTGCGGTAGCATTCCGGCCACCCTTGGCAAAAGGTTGGCTTGTAGGGCAATGGATCGCTCATTTCAAACTGAAACAACACAAAACATCTCTATCAGAGATAACTGGCAGATGATGTTTGAAACGGCGGCTATAAGGATGATGATGATGATGATGAGGACCGTTTTGTCTGTGCATCAGTCCGTCCTCTGTCCATCACACTGTCACATCTCTCCTATAGTTTTTTTTGGAAACTTCTGCCACCGCCTGGTGCGGTTCCTATGTTAGCGCCAATGATGTAAATGATGATAATGAAGTCGAAGCTGTTGAACACGTATTGCTACGGCCAAGATGTGATAGGTAAGTCTTGTAACAAATTTTCGTTCACATTGTTGTGAAACTGGTTTGTTGTCATTCTTGGCGTCGTGCCCAGAGTTGGGCAACCGTTTGAAACTGAAACGTTTCTAAGATCTTTGCGCGCAATATGTGAAAAACGTGACTACATGTCAGAAAATCAAACGGCAGCAGCAAAAGTTTTCACAAAGAGGTATCAAGGCACAGTGGAGGCCCATTGTCGAGTGCTTCCAGGCATTGCCATAAAGCTTTGGCGGTTTTAACACGAAGAACCATCCCATATATGTACTTTGACTGCCTTCTCAAACCCATTCCCCAGTATGCAACCACTTGTAGAGATTGGTGGTCAAAGAGACACTAGTACAAAGTAGTACTGCGGAGTGCTTTGTGCAAGCTTTGTAGTACAAAGTAGTACTGGGAGTTGTTCTGTACAACTTTTGCAGTACAAAGTAGTACTGGGGAGTGCTTTGTGCAAGCTTTGTAGTACAAAGTAGTACTGGGAAGTGGTTTGTGCAAGCTTTGTAGTACAAAGTAGTACTGGGGAGTGCTTTGTGCAAGCTTTGTAGTACAAAGTAGTACTGGGAAGTGGTTTGTGCAAGCTTTGTAGTACAAAGTAGTATTGGGAAGTGTTTTGTGCAAGGTTTGTAGTACAAAGTAGTACTGGGAAGTGGTTTGTGCAAGATTGTAGTACAAAGTAGTACTGCGGAGTGATTTGTGCAAGCTTTGTAGTACAAAGTAGTACTGGGAGTTGTTTTGTGCAACTTTTGTAGTACAAAGTAGTACTGCGGAGTGCTTTGTGCAAGCTTTGTAGTACAAAGTAGTACTGGGAAGTAGTTTGTGCAAGCTTTGTAGTACAAAGTAGTACTGGAACGTGTCTAGTGCAAGCTTTGTAGTTCAAAGTAGTACTGGGGAGTGCTTTGCGCAAGCTGTGTAGTACAAAGTAGTATTGGGAAGTGTTTTGTGCAAGCTTTGTAGTACAAAGTAGTACTGGAACGTGTCTAGTGCAAGCTTTGTAGTACAGATTAGTACTGGGAACTAGTTTTTGCAAGCTTTTGTAGTAGACATCATTACTGGAAAGTACTTGACATGAAAATAGCCAAGAAGAACTTAGCTGACATCTGCGAAGACATGGAATGAGATGAGAAGAGCTCCGATGAGATGAGTTGAGATGAAGTGCAAGTGTGAAGTGTGGAGTGTGGGGTGTGAAGAGTGCAATGTGAAGTCTGAGGAAAGTGTTTGCATTGCACCGGTGTCGCGCGCAGGTCATGTTCTTATGTTCTTGGCCACAACAATACAACAGCTTCGCACAAAGCACGCACGCACAGCCCTGGCTGGAGCACGGCGCATGCAAGGTGCTTGGTCGTAGTACTGGGAAGTGATTCATGGAAGCTTGCGTGACATATGAGAAGAGATGAGATGAGAAGAGATGAGCTGGGTTAAGGTG